CTTGGGGCCATCTTGGAAGAGATCGATCAACGAAGGGGGGGTCCCTAATTAGCCTCCCCCCTCAGGAGCTCCAAACATCGCCTCTTGGGGCGCTCTTGGGGCGCTCTTGGAGCGCTCTTGGGCGCTCTTGGGGCCGTCTTTGGGCTCTCTTGGGCATCTTGTGGGGCCCTCTTGGGCCTCGTCGGGGCCTCCTTGGGAGCTCTTTGGCCACTTGGAGCCGTCTTGGGGCCGTCTTTGGGCCTCTTGGAACATCTTATCTTCATCTCCATCTCGAGCGATCTGCGCTATCTTGAGCCATCTTGGAGCTCATCTTGGGCTCTCTGACGCGCTCTTGAAGCCATCTTGGGGCCAAAAGAGCCGTCCGACCGCTCGGGGAACCCTCCGTCCAGGCCCAGGGGAGGGGGTAGGGGGAGGGGTAAACCCCTCCCCAAGGGGGAAGAGGGAGGGGTGGAAGAGGATCTGTTCTAGACCACCGACGCCCAGAGGGCTGGTGGGATTGAAGAGGATGGCGAACCGAAGAGCCAGAAGCGTCTTAAATGCATGTCGGAGATCTTCTTGAGGCTTCTTGGGGGTCTCTTGGGAGCCTCTTGGAGGCCTCTTGGGCGCCTCTTGGGGCCGTCTGGGCGCCTCTTGGGGCGCTCTTGGGGCGCTCTTGGGGGCTGTAGGGGCGCTCTTGGGGCCATCTTGGAGGAGATCGATCAACGAAGGGGGGTTCCCTAATTAGCCTCCCCCCTCAGGAGCTCCCAACATCGCCTCTTGGGGCGCTCTTGGGGCGCTCTTGGAGCGCTCTTGGGCGCTCTAGGGGCCGTCTTGGGGCTCTCTTGGGCCTCCTGTGGGGCCCTCTTGGGCCATCTTGGAGCCATCTTGAGGCCTTGGATGGCCATCGGAAGCGAAACGGGGAGAAAGCACAAAGTATTTATTTTCCCAAGGTTTTGGGACGATTTGGGCCTCTTCGGGGCCTCCTTGGGGAGCTCTTTGGCCACTTACAGCCGTCTTGGGGCCGTCTTTGGGCCTCCATCTTAGGAGCCATCTCGAGCGATCTTGTGCTATCTTGAGCCATCTTGGAGCTCATCTTGGGCTCTCTGACGCGCTCTTGAAGCCATCTTGGGGCCAAGCCCTCAGCGCCGCCTTCCCCCCCCCCCTCCTCTCTCCGCCCCCCGCCCCATTGGGCCTCTCTCCGCGCCTGCCCCTCTGCGCTTCGGTCCTCCCTCCGGCCCCCCTTTGCCAGGAATCTGGCCCCCTGCCCGCCCCGATCTGGGAATCCGGCCCCTCCCCCGCCGCCCTCTCGGTCTCGCCATCGCTTCCCCTTGCACCCCCCCCCTCTCGATTTCGATTTCCCTCCCCCCTCTCTCGCCATCGCTTCCCCTTGCATCCCCCCCTCTCGATTTCCCCCCCTTCCCCTTCCCCTCGTCGGCGTGACCCCCCCTCATCTTTTGACCCCCCCTCCCTCTTTGCGAGGCAAAGTGGGAGCGCTGCGGCGGCCTGGAGCTCGACCCCGTGCTCGGCAGTGGAGCGGTCGTCCTGATGGACGCGGAGTGGATGGTGAGGCGAGCGCGCACTGGCGGCGTCCTCGAGCCGCGCCAGGCGTTGCCGCCGACGGCCTTCATTTCCCACAGCGCCGTCAAAGCCGCCAGTTCTTCGTTGCTGCACATCGCGTGCATATCACACTGCTGGCTGCAGGCGAACCACCCGGATCCACGCGGGCACAACCTGCGCATCGTGGGCCAGGCCCTGCAGCTGCTGCTGGGCTATGTCGGTGGCCGCTGGGGTGTATTCATGGACTTCTGCTGCATCCATCAAAACTGCAGGGACCGCGAGGGCGTTCCCCAGCAGCACACCTACCAGCGGCTCGAAGGCTCAGATTCGTTCGAGGACGATGCCCTCGGCCGCTTCGAGCTGGAGCATGCGCTCTTCAAGGAGGCATTGGGGAGCCTGGGGAGCTTCTACTCCCACCCCGCCACTGTCGTCTTCATGCTGACGCGGTTTCCAGATGATTACGGCGATGCTGCAAAGTACACCCGGTCGGGCAACACGGAGCAGTACTTCAACCGTGGCTGGTGCTTCTGCGAGTCCTCCTGGGCGATGCTGACGAAGCCGTCTGGCAATCTCTGGGACCTCGGCCGATGCACGGGAGCGGAGACCCACTTCTGGGAGTTGGTGCAGACCTGCCGCGCGGGGCGCCGGGCGCCCCTCCTGCCCGACGCCTTCGACGTGGAGCTGCAGAGCAAGGGCTTCACCAACGGCAAGGACGACCGGCCCCGGGTCGCCGAGCTCTACCGCTCCGCCTTCGCGCAGCGCTTCGAGGCCGCGGAGGAGCTGCACTACGACGGGCTGCAGTGGGGCGACGAGGAGGCGCAGCACCTGGCCGCCGTGCTCGCCTCGGGCGCGCTGCCCCGGCTGCAGAAGCTCTACCTCTGGAACAACCGCGTGGGCGACGAGGGCGCCGCGCGGCTGGCGGAGGCCCTGCGCGCCCCGGGCGCGCTGCCCCAGCTGCAGGAGCTCAGCCTCCGCGGCAACCCGCTCCGCGTGGGCGGGCCAGGCCCGGCGGCGCTGCGCGCCGCGTGGGCGGAGGCCGGGCGCCCGGCGTGCAACCTGTGGCTCGGCTTCTGAGGAGGGCCGGGCGCGGCGCGGCGCGCGGCCGTCCGAGGCGCGCGGCGCGAGAGGCCTCGCCGCCTCCGCCGCCCTCCCGGGGCCCTGCCCCTCTGCCCTCCTCCCCTCCTCCGCGTCTCCTCCTTGCGCTCCGTCCGCTCCTCCGCGTCTCCTCCTGCCGCTCCTCCCTGCCTTCTCCGGCGTCGCTGCTCATTCCTCCTCTTCCTCCTCCTCCTCCTCCTCCTCCTCCTCCTCCTCCTCCTCCTCCTCCTCCTCCTCCTCCCCTGCCTCCTCGTGCTCCTCCGGGCTCGTTTCTGTTCTCCCCCCGCCCCCCGTGTTTTTTGTTCGGCCCCCCCACCGGATGTCGTTCGGGGTGGTCTCTTCATTTTTGCCCCTCGGAGTTTTTTCCTTCCCCTCGCTGGGGGGGTGGGGTCCGCGGTGTCCCCCCCGCCCTCCTCTCGGGGTCTCTTTCTGTGCCCTCGGAGTCTTAGTTCTTTCCCTTGGGGTCGCTTGCTTTCCCCATCGTGTCTTCGTTCCCCCCCATCGCGTATTTTTCTGTTCCCTCCTGCTCCTCTTTCCTCCCCTCCTTCCTTGTCTTTGCTCCCCTCCCCGCGCCCTCTTGGGCCGTCTCGGAGCCGAGCTCTTGGGCCGTCTTGGGGCCCGTGGGCCGCGTGATTCTAAAGAATACGAGGAAGCAGGCCATGGGAGCCGCCCGGGGGCCGCTTCACTCGAACAAAAACTATGGAAAACTGTCCAGTAGACCGATTTGCCCAGTCCTGCCCCCTCCGCCGGACCCCCTCTCCAAAATGGCTTCGCCCCCTACGAAATGTCTCTCGCTCCGCTCTTTCCGTCACCTGGGCTGGACACTGTGAAGCCCAAAGAAGCTAATCTGCTGAACACGTACGTTTTTCGGAGGGAATGGGGCGATGTTTTGCCTCCTGGGGGCTCCCTTGGGGGCCTCCTGCGGCGTCTTGGGAGTCTCTTGGGCCGTCTCAACGCCATAATTATTAGGCCCTCTTGAAGCGTTCCTGGGCCGTGTTCGGGCCCTCGTGGACCTCTCCGATGCCGTCTTGGAGGTAGAGGCGCTCTTAGGGCTGACTTGGGCCGTCTTGGGCCGAAAATTGTCAAAATTAGGGCCATCAGACCTGGGGCCGGCACAGAAACGGAAAGGGCGCTGCAGCAACTTGACCGAAATTACGCACACCACCGTTCGTACTGGGAGCCTTGGGCTGGGCGCATGAGCTGGGCGGGAAGCCTGTGAAGGCTTCCCCAGACGTTTCACGTCGTCGTGCGTATGGGGGCGGGGACCTTGTGTGTCCGTCACTGGGCCGTGTGTGGGCCTCAGGCCGTTCGCTGTTGGGAGCCTTGGTGTGAAAAACTTTTTGCGTTACCGAACGCTCTTTTACTTGGCGTCTCTGGGCCTTCTTGGGGGTCCACCGCGACCCACCCGCGAGCCACCCGCGACCCACCCTGCGACCCACCCAAAATTTTCGGCGCCTGCGGCGGGTTTCTTTTGCATTCGTATCAGGTGGAGAACCTGCGACCCACCCGCGACCCAGACCGCTTTCAGTGTACAAATCAAAATTTTCGGCGCCTGCGGCGGGCTGTTTTTGAATTCCTTCCAGGTGGAAGTGGAGAGCCCGCGACCGACCCGCGACCCAAACTACGTTCACTGAACAAGCCACAACTTTGGCGCCTGCGGCGGGCTTCTTTTGCATTCGTTCCAGGAGGACAACCTGCGACCCAAACCGCGTTCAGTGTACAAATCAAATTTTCGGCGCCTGCGGCGGGCTGTTTCTGAATTCCTTCCAGGTGGAGGTGGAGAGCCCGCGACCCACCCGCGACCCAAAGTACGTTCACTGAACAAGCCAAAGATTCGGCGCCTGCGGCGGGCTTCTTTTGCATTCGTTCCGGGTGGCCCACCAGCGATCCCCCCCGCGCTGAACTTGTCAGAGCACGTAAATCGGCGCTTGCGGCGGGTTTGCTCGCATTGGTTTGTGAAAGCGCTCTCGTGCCATTCCCCCGATCGGGCCCACGTTGACTCTACAACAACACATCGGCGCCTGCGGCGGGGCTGTGTCTGAACACGTTCATTGACAATCCAGTTGCCTGCTGCCGCGGAGGAGGGAAGGAGGAGCAGGGCGAGGAGCAGGAGGAGGAAGACGACGACGACGACGACGACGACGACGACGACGACGACGACGACGAGGACGAGGAGGACGAAGAGGAGGCCGACGACGAGGGCGAGGAGGAAATGGGAGGAAAAGGAGGGGGACGGAGGGGGACGACGAGAAAGGAGGGAGGAGGAGGGGGAGGAGGAGGAGGAGGAGGAGGAGGACGACGACGACGACGGAAAGGAGGAGGGGTGAGGATCGGGATGGAGGAGGAAGAGGAGGAGGAGGAGGAGGAGGAAAAGAGGGGGAGGAAGAGGAGGATGAGGAGGAAAAGGAGGAAGAGGAGGATGAGGTGGAGGAGGAGGCGGACGACGACGACGACGATGAGGACGAGGACGTGGACGAGGAAGAGGAGGAGGAGGAGCAGGAGGAGGAGGAGGAGGAGGAGGAGGAGGGTGCCATCGACAGGGAAGGTGCGGGCCACGAGGTCCGCTGGCTCGACGCCCGCGTCCGCCCCCTCACTCTTATCCGCAATTGCGGGGTGCTGCGTTGGGTGCAGGGTCCTTCAAACAGTACACAGAAGGTCCAGGAGGGTGGGGGTGTCAGAGGGAGTGTGGGGACCCAGCGTCTTGTTTTGTAGGGTGCATGGTCCCTAAAACAGTACACACAGAAGGTCCAGGAGGGTGGTTCCAAGAGCAGAGATCCCGAGGGATGGGCTGGAGGTCTGGGGATGTCAGACGTGGTAGGGGCAGTGTGAAGGTCAGGGTGGGTTCCAGACCAGGAATTGCCGTGCGGGGCGCGGAAATTACGGGGTGGGGGGCTAGAGAACAGGACGTAGTGTCTCTAACCTGGCCCTTCATTTCACACGCCTCTGGGGTTGGCGGATATGTGGGATGAGGTGAGACCGCGAAAGCGTTTGCGAGGGAAGGTTAGCCTCGCCGCCGTCGCCCTCTGCCAAACCCAGGCTGGCTGAGGCGACCTTGGGGGCTCGGAATTCTATTTCGTCTGCACAGACGGCTTCCCATCTAGCCTCGTCTCCCCAAACAAATGTAGATGTGTGGGTGCCTGCACACATACGTGCATCTTGGGAGTGGCTCCTTGGTGAGCCCAAAGCTCAGCAGGAGGATCCCACGTCTGCGGAGGGGCACACGGGACGGTGTGTGGGGGCGCGGGCACCACAGGGCGTTGTCGGGAAAGCCGAGATGGCTTCGAGATGGCCGGGCCAGAGAAGAGGCTCCCCAGAAGCTCCGAGAGGGCCCCAAGAGTACGTCCAGAGGCCCCGACCAGGAGAATTCATTTTCGCTGTTTCGATGTCCGGTTTCCCTCCATGTTTGTTTTCGAAGCGTCCACGACGGCCCAAGAGGCGTCCATGATCGCCCCAGGACGCCCCAAAAGAACCACCCACGGTTTTCTATCCGACCCCCAAACCCAAGAGGCTTCCAAGAGAGCCAAGACAGTTTTTAAGATAGCCCACGATGGCTCCAAGAGGGTCGCACAGGCTCGCAAGAAACTTTCCGAGGGCCCCAGGAGGACATCACAGAGGCCCCCGACAGGCTAGCATCATTGATATGTTGCATGCGTTCTGCTTTGGGCGTCCTCGCCTCTTTTTGATTGAATGGCGTTTGCGACGGTTTCAGGCCTCCAGGATCGTCCCAAGCCGGCCCAACAGGGTCCCACGAAGCCCTCCAGCTGGCCCGAGAGATGAGCGCAAGCCAAGAGGCTTCCAAAAGAGCCCCAAGAGTCCCTGGACGTCTGCGGCAAGACGGCCAAGATGGCCCAAGATGGCACTAAGAGGATCGACGAGGCTCCAAAGACGTTCCGAGAAAGCCCCAGGAGGATGCCCCAGGGGCTCCCAGCAAGCGGCTTCGCTGATTCGTCAAAATTTTGCTTTGTGATATGTCACAGTTCTCCCCCTCTTGTGGCTGGTAGAGCGTCCACAAGGGTTGTGAACTCCGCGTTAGGCCAGTTTGTAGGAAACTACGAAATCTTTTTTTTTGCCCCCAAAATGCTTTTTTGATTTCCGAATCGGATGCTCCAAATATGCTCCTAATATTTTCTGATATTTACACGATGCTCCAAAAATGCTCGCTCGATTTCTGTGTATTTTTCACGATGCTCTCAAAATGCTACCTTAATTTTCGTGTTTTTTGGGGGATGCTCGAAACATGCTCTTCGCAATTTGTGTGTTTTTCACGCATGCCCCAAAAATGCTCTATTACGCTGTTGCTCTGTTTGAAGATGTTCGAATGTTGCCCATTTCATCATCTGCTTTCGCAGCGGTGCTCCAGAAATGCTGGTCCCATGATGAGAGCAGCATGTCTGGGGCACCGCCACGAAAGCAGATGATGGAATCTGGGCAAAATTGGAACATCTTCAGAACGAGCAGCAACATAATACAGCACTGTTGGGGCACGTGCGACAAACGCACAACATGCAAAGAACATGTTTCGATCATCTCCGGACGAAACAGAAAGGCAGCAGTTTGAAGGCATCGTAAGCATACATAAACATCAAGCGGGCATGTTTGGAGGAACGTTTTAACTAACACCGCATACTTGGAGCATGTTTGAAGCATCCTATTCGTAAAGCAAGCATTTTGGGAGCAAAACAAAGATTTCGTCGTTAGAATACGAGCTGGCGCAATCAAACAGGTAGGTCGCACAAGCGGCAGTAACCGTTACCAGTAACCGAATAACCACTCATACTTGCGCCCCGCTACCATGCTCAAGTGACCTTGGGCTTTGCTACTAAGTACTGCTGGCTATCGGCTACTAACTACAGCTACCACCAGCTATCTGAGCTATCAGCGAACTGAGCCAGGGTAAAAACACGATTTGAAAAACATAGGAGGAGACGTATTGAGACGGAGCGAGGCGATGATCAGGATAATGAGACAGGTGGACACACGATGAGGCTAAACGACATTGGAGTAAGGAAGTCAGGAAGTAGGACGCGGAGGAGGAGGAGGAGGGAACAGGCGACGGCCGTGGGGAGAAGATAAAGGAGCATGTAAATAACCAATCGAGGTGGGGAGCTGGAAAGAAGAGGGGTGAGAAAGAAAACGGGCAAGGACGGAGGGCGAGGGAACGAGGGCGGAGGTTGGGAGGGAGCCGTGAGAGGAGGAGCGAGGAATGAAGAGGAGGTGCACGGCATGGGCCCAGGGATGAGGAAGTGAGTGGTGGGCAGTGCTTGCTGCAGTCCGTAGTCAAAGCCCCGGCCGTGCCCCCCCCTCTCCTCCTTCCTCGCTCTTCATTCTTCACAGTGGTCGTCCTCGTTCCCTCGCTCCTCATCCTTCTACTTAGGTCCCGGGTCCTACTCAGTGCTCGTTGTCCTCTCTGCTGCTGCTGCTGCTGCTGCTGCTGCAGCTCCTACTACTCAGCCTGCTGACTCACGACTCGACTCGTAGCCTCTGAGGCTCTGAGGTCACCAGGTCAGGAACAATGTTTATCCGCCTCCTCCTCCTCTTCTTCTTCCTCCTCCTCCTCCTCCTCCTCCTCCTCCTCCTCCCCCTCCTCCCACTCCTCCCTCCTCCTTCTCTTCCTCCTCCTCGTCGCCACTCGCCGCTCTCCTCCTCCTCCTCCTCCTCCTCCTCCTCCTCCTCCCCCCTCCTCCTCTGCCCTTCCCTGTCCCTCCCTGGCCGCTGCTCTCCCTGTTCCGCAGCCAGACGCCAGACTGTCTTGAGTCTTGAGTCCTGGCAGCCGCTCTGGCTGCCGCTCTGGCTGCCGTCTGGCTGAGCTGCTCAGCTGAGCAGCTGCTCTGCTCATGTGCTCATGGATGAGCTCACCATCTCGTTGATCGTCGGGTGCATCAGTTGGGCGTCGATGCTTGCATCGGCGAGCGTCTTGAGCTCTTTGTTGATGAGCTGCTGGAACCTCTTGCTCTTTTCAGCTCCGTCGACCGCAGATCTCTTCTCGAATATCTTCATGAGCCGCCCCTCCATGCGGCAGATAGTAGCCGTGGTCATGGTCTCTTTCAGGTCCTTGAGGTGTTTCTGTGTTGCTGCATCTTCATTTTGTTCCTGATCTATGTCGTACTGATCCACGATCGCTTTGTACTCCACGAGCCCTGTCATCATCTTCTGTATGTGTTTGTAGATCGTCTCTGCATTCATGCTCCACATGCCTTTCTCTGTTGCGGCAGCTATCAAGACCTCCAGGTTTGCAGCAGAGTCGAGGCCCTCCTTCCATTTAGCATTATCCACTGCAGGCTGCAACTGTTCAGAGAAAGAATCTAGTTTCCTCAGCGCGTCGTCTGCGAACTGCATGCCGCATGCCTTCACGACTTTCGTGTGTTCCGTCACCTCTGCATCGAACGTTTTGAAATTCTCGATCACCATACTCGTGTCGTCGGCGCCCTTCGACTCGGTGATCTCAAACTGCGGCCGCATGTCGTTCCAGGACTTCAGGGATGCAGCAATAATCTTTGCAACCGCTGGGAGCTGTGGTGAATTTGCGTTGAGAGCCTCAGTCATACCGCGATGCTTCTTCATCATAACTGCCAACCTGTATAATTCGAACTCATCCTTTATGTTCTTGCTGATGCTGGTCCTGCCCTCGAGCTTTTTGATGCACTCGTCAACATCTTCGAATGCTTCGATGCTTGATGAAACTACATTCACTCGGGCTCCGGCGATAATCTTGGGAATGGCCTCATCGATAGGGTACTCCCCGGACTGCGGCAGCTCAATGCCTTTGCAGTTCTCCCAGGCTCCGGTCAGGTTCCGAGCTGCCGTGGCCACCTCCGCCATGTTGGTGAAAGACACAGCATCCAGAACCGCCTGGAAGGTCGGAAGTTACTACTAACTAACTTATTACTTATTGCCAACAACTCCACCCATCTGCCCTCTACCCTACGCCCTACGGGCTGCTCAGTATTACTCGCGATTGACACGTTCAGTTCGAGTTTCAGGGAAAGCCAAACAGCCGACAGACACTTTCCACCCATGAGAACATGATGAAACCTGGTGCCCTTTCCTTGGACAGGGGGGGCAAAGGACAAGGTACGAGACTGTGACAAGGTACACAGGCAGGGAAGAGGAACAATAACAACCATATGTCAGAAAGGCTCCCGCCTTCAAATTCTCGCCCAAATGCTTCAGCCTGTGGCTCTTCGACCTGTTCTGCAGGAGCGTCGCAATCTCAGTGCGAATAGCCACCAGCTCGTCTACCTTTTGGGGCATGTTCTCGATGGCAAGCTTAACTGTGTTCATGAAGCCCTCAAAGTAATCCAGAGTGGTGGAGTCGGGAGCATTGACGCACAACAACTTGCGGCCCTGGATGGCCGCGAGCGTCTTCGTCTCAAGCTCGCTCGTTGCACCCGCCCTGCATGTCTGTGTCAAGACTGGTAGCTTTTTGAGGGCCTGGTTGATGGCATCGAGGTTCTCGGGCTCGACTATGTTGCAGATGGCCGTCAGTTCTGGCAGGTGAGTCTGCTCAGCGATGGTGAACTTGAAAAACTCGCCGATCTTCTTGCTGTAGTTCTCATCCAAGACTTCCTTGAACACATTGAAGTAGTCCTCGTCGCGCTTCACGCCCGCACCGTCAGAGATCGCGCCGCTGGCTGTGCTGTCCAGAACTATGTTGACGTCGTCCTTGGTGCTCCTCTGAACGCCGGGCGAGCTGTGGAAGATGGCGATCACGCAGCGGCACGCAATTGACGCAGAAGAGATCACCTCGCCGTCTGAGGCTGTGGCCAAGACCTTAGCGCACGCCTCGGCAATATCCAAAGCGGCTTTGTGATTCTTCGCCATGAGTGCAGACAGCATTTTGCCACTGATGTACTTCTCGTCAATGAAGGAAACCGCCGACCTCAAATCAATACCGTCGACTTCGCTCAACTTAGGTTCCATGGGGTCGAATTTTGATTCAGAGGCCGTGGGCATGACTTGCTGCTGTGAATGCTGCGGAGGAGGCTGCTCGTTCCCCTCGCCTGAGCTGCCGCCCGTGCTGGTAATACCGTCTAGGCGTAAGAGTTCAAAGAAATCGCTGTTCTCAGCAAATCCAGCGAAGGATGGTGACTGGCGCAACTCGTTTTCCTTCGTCGCGCAAACTAGCAGCTGG